GAGGAGGGGGTGGTGGAAGATGAGAGCAAACACAGGATTGCAGAGCTTTGACCACAGAGCTCAGGGGAAAGGCAATCTGGAAGAGGAGGTATAGGCAGCTAAAGGGCAAACTGGCACACTAATACGAAAACCAGAAGATTTAACTGGGAGAGCTGGGAGCTTGGAAGGAGTGTCGAGACAAGGCTCAGTGCCTCTGATGCTACAGGGACAGTGACTGCTTCCAGTCTAACATGAACATTAAAACCAAATCTGGCTGGGATAGCAGGCACACAGACACAATCACCAAGCTACAGATTTGCCTGCCTTTCGTTACCTTTAATTGCCACGAGAGCAGAGACTTACAGTGGCTTTCACTCCTCAGCTGCTGTGGCCGAGTGAGCAGTGAAATAGCCGGAGGAGAAAATTGTGAGTGAGCAGAAAAAGAGACACATGAAATGCATTTCACAGGCCAGGCTCACCATCAGAACCAGATGATGGTTACTGTCAGGGAAGACTGAAAGGAGCTGACACCATTGCTACAGAAATCAACAAGTGGGGAAGCCTACCCCAGCAGCCCCATGCAGGCAAACCTGCCCGTGCCCTGCCTGGACACCACTGGCTGAGGAAGGAGTGAGGGTCTGTGCACCCCTGGACAGCCTGCACATAGAGGTTCCTTCCCATGCCACATGCTTCAGCCTGAAGAGATGTCTCTTGAGGGAGAAGACCTGTGCCTGCCCCTCACATTAGGCACAGGGCTGTATGCTACCAGGATGTGATTAAATAGCAGAATTCGGCTCCTCATTCTTTTTCCTCTCTGCTATTCACTTTCTGTCATCATCTTTCCTGCATTTCCTCCCATCTCCCTCTGGAGTACAACCATTCATCTGGTGTGTGTTCCTGGCTTGTTTCCTTCGCAGCCTACCTCTGAGGTTTTGGGTCAACATCCTGAAGAACCCCCAGTTCGTCTTTGACATTGACAAGACAGACCATATCGATGCCTGTCTCTCTGTGATAGCCCAGGCCTTCATTGATGCCTGCTCTCTGTCCGACCTGCAGCTGGGCAAGGTACTGTCACAAGAGGATGTGTCGCTCCTGTGCGGGCAGGCAGGACACGCACCAGTGTGGGTGGGAAGGGACTGTCAGGTCTCCCAGCCCAGCCTCCCGCATCAGTAGAGCTGGTGGGGAGACACTTGCTCAGGTTCATGCAGTCGAGTTTTGGCTGTCTCCACAGATGAGTTCTCCCCCTCACTCCACTTTTGTTGACACATGCATCAGCACTGGGAGACACTTGGCAGTCCCAGAGCCATTGGTGCTCCTCTCCGGTAGCAATGTCTCCATCACATGCTGCCCACCTCAGGCATGCTGGCAGAGCCCAGTGGGCTGGCACTAGGAAGCCAAACCTGCCCTGAGCACATGCGAGGCTGCGTGGGCCATGTCTCCTCTCCCACCACCGGGATCCCATGCACCATCCTGTGTGGGATGTTCTGCTCTCCCACTGCTCTCCCACCGGCTCGGCCGAGCACAGTGTTGACATTTGAAACATCCCGACATAAATAAGTTTTATTAGGAAGTGCTGTACATCACCCTCAGTGTTCACCCGACGGGCTGGCGGCACAGGGTGTGACGTCAAGGGGACCCTATGGAGGGAGGGCAGGAGGCAGGCGCTGCTCCTGCACCCCCAGGCTGACACTGGAGGAAGATCTAATGAACGCTTGATTTTTGTTTGTTTGGGTTTGGGTCTTTTTTCTGGTGTGTTACGAAACACCTACAATTTGTCCTTGTCAGGCTGTGGGTGAGGGGAAGAGAGGTCAGCCGGAGTCAGACAGCAGATGGAAACATTTTTCAGGAATACAATAGCATAACTGAAGGAATTGTTGAGTAATGTGGGAAGAATAAATCCTCAGCATAAAAATCAGCTCGCATATACACGCAGTGTACCGCTGAATGTTTTCCAGGCTGGATTATTCCCCTGGTTTCAGCATGAAACCATCTATTGCAGTATCTCTTGATACTACAAATGTGAGAGCAGAATCAGACTCCAGCTCCACACATCTACAGTGCACAAGCAGTTAATAAACCAGTACCCATCTCCATAATACAGACAAATCAGACACAAATTAAAAAATAACTTAAAAAAGGGGCAGCATGGGGGTTTTTTGTGTTTCCAAAGGGGGGAAAAAATATCTAGTGAGCAGGCTCTGTAGCTTGGCTGTATTCCTGCAATGCCTTGTTATTGGGTTTGAAAATAAACTGCTGTGGGATCTGGTGCCACAGCCTGGTGCCCATTTCCCATTTCCCCTGCAGCATCAGCCAAGCTACATATTGCGGCAGCAGATTGCAGTTACCCGGGCTCCCTTATTTACTGCCCGATACAGCTGAAATGTTGCCTCCTCATGTGAGCCCTGCTGAGCTTGTCTCCTCCCAAGGTCCTCCCTCCCCGCTCCACCTGCTAGAGCATCGGGAGCAGTCCCGCATCCCGTCTCAGGGCAGCGGGACACGGTGATCTCACTCCCCTCTGTGCCCCTGAGCCAGGGGCTGTTTCCCTTTGGGATGTAGCACCGGGCCAGTCAGCCAAGTTCATTCCCAGGGTAGTGACATCAGCGGGGCAGGATTGCCTTGAGGTTAAAATCACTCACAGTCATGTTTGAGAGGAGCGCAAGCAGGGCTGTGCCTCCACTGGTACAACCCGATTGTGTGGCTGGGAGGTTAAGACTGCATTGTCCAAGCTGACATTAATCAAGAGGACTCAGTATTTGCTGTTAATTACTTTATGTGCACTCAATATAGGCCAGGCAAGCTGGGTTAGCCAATGCAAAATAAATCAAAGCTACATGAAAAATCCAAGAGCAACATTTCAACTGACAAAGTTCAGCCTGTAAGAGAGCTTTGTTCTTCTGTTTAAATCAAGCTGGCTGCTCAAGAGACCCGGGTAAATGCATGCAGAAACCCTTCCCTTGTTACCAATTTCCACAGGCAGAGCCACAGAGCACAAGTGTTTTATCTAACACAGTTGTGCTGCACTCATCTGCAGAGCATTACCTGGCAGCAGGCCACCCTGCCTGACCTTGTGCATGCTTTTTAGCCTGCCCTTGCTGCCAATTAAAACACCCTCACATCGACCACCTTCACTGGCAGTACAGCTATCAAATGTTGAGCTCATGCTAGGAAGGAGTGCTGGGGGACAGTGCTGTGGCTCCACACGTGGGGGGTACCTGTCTGCAGCACCTTGATGTGTTTGAGGAAGCGCCTCTGTCATTAGCTGTGTTGTGCTTTGGTGCCATCCCACCACACTCCTGCCTGTGTAAAGCCAGGACCAAAGACGTAGCTGTTTCCTGAACACAGCGGTAGCTGAAGTCCATGTCTGATGGGTCAGACAAACAGGATAGAAAGCGTTCAGCCAGGAACAACACAGTGTCTGATTTCAGTATCTTGCCCTTGCTCTAGGACTCCCCAACCAATAAACTGCTGTACGCCAAGGAGATCCCTGAGTACAGGAAGATAGTGCAGCGATACTACAAGCAAATCCACGACATGCCACCGCTCAGTGAGCAGGAGATGAACGCTCACCTGGCTGAGGAGTCACGGGTAAGGCGTGGGGCATGCAGGCTGCAGCCAGCTACTGCTTAGGTGCTGCAAGGAGCAACCAATAAAGAGTATTTTGCCTCGAACTTCCACACACAAACTTCATCTGACCTAATTCCAAGCATCTTCAGTTACTGCCAGAGCTGCAGTGAACACCCACAAGTTAGCTTGAACCGAACTAGCTTTGGCACCACTGGGAGCTGAAAGCAAAATTCAGTGCCAGAGAGCCGGGAAGCTTGGAACAGGATCCCTGCAGTCCTGCAGCCCTGCCCAGCTGCCCCCAGGCACCAACTGCCAGGGCCAGCCCAGTCCCAGGGACCCACTGGCAGCGGCTGCATGCGGGACACCAGCAGCGTGCTCCAGCTCCATGGCCTGCCAGCGGTGTGCTACAGCTTCCTCGGAATCAATCCATCTCCTGCGGCACGTCAGCCTCAGGCACCGCGCGGGTTTTCTCCCTTGGCATTCCTCTGCCCAGCTGTTGTGCTGCCCTCTCCATTGAAATGGCTTTGAACACAGACAGATAAACAGAGCTGTGGAGCGTGGGCTCTACAGCTGGCTTTAGAAAGACTGAGACCATTCCTGATGTAAGCAAATGCACTTTCCCTAAGGGAGTAAATCGAAAGTCTGGTTGCATCAATGCAACAACAACAAAAATACCCAGGCAAAACCCTTCTTTTAATCTAGCTGATGCCTGCTTATGGGGCTTGAACTCACTTGCTGCAGCACATTAATACACTTCCCCTCTTTGTTCTGTCTTTATAAAGAAATACCGGAATGAATTCAACACCAATGTCGCCATGGCAGAGATCTACAAATACGCCAAGCGCTACCGCTCCCAGGTAAGTGGGTTCAGCCACACTCGGCCCCGGTGTACCCATGGAGGGAATACCAAGTGGTGTGTGTTAACCAAGCAGCCAGACACCGGCATCCAGCCCCACTGCAGAGGGATTACTGTTTCTTGCATAATCCCATGCACATGTGAGGCACATGCACGCACAGATGCACCTGCTCTCCTAGCCCTTGGCTGACAACTTCTTGGAAGAGAAGTCCAGCTATTCCTGGCTGGTTTAACAGCATGTGGACCTGCAGATGCTTTCTGGAGAGCAGAGCATGCTGATGAAGTCCACACTCAAATAACTTCCCACCCATGGCCCTGGCTGCTCCCAACCCCCTGCGCTGCGGGCTGGCTCCACACCGTGGGCTTTACTGTCATGGTGGATTTTGGTTTCATTCCCCTCCTCTCCCACCCCTTGCCCAGGGACTCGGCTCTGTCCTAGAGCAGACGGAAGGTGCTGGGGCTGTGGGGCAGGGTGGGCTCTTCCCATCAGGGGTCCAGGTGGGTCTGGGGTTCTGCAGGTTCTGCCTGCACAGCCTCAGCACCCTCCTGTCCGTGTCTCCTGTAGATCGTGGCTGCCCTGGATGCCAACCCCACGACGAAGCGCACCCAGCTCCAGCACAAGTTTGAGCAAGTGATTGCGCTCATGGAAGATAACATCTACGAGTGCTGCAGTGAAGCCTAGGCTGACTGCAGCCCTGGAAGTGACCTTCTCCGCAGCGCAGTGCCGTAGGAAACCTGCCTTCAGCCGCGGATACGCCATGGATCGCCTCCGCCAGGGCCATTCTCAAACCAGCCTCGTGGTGGGGGTGGGCCTGGCCCGTGGCTGAAGGGCTCCTCACCCAACAAGAAGCCACAAGACACCTTTCCAAGCAGCTCAAGCCCCCTCTGGTCTGCACTGTGGCACCCATAATTTATTTGCTGTTGCCAACCAGAAATGGAGACGTGACACTTGTCAAGCTCAGTTCACCGTTTCCCTCTGATCAGCACCCGCGCGGTCAGCGGCTCCCTGCATCCCTGTTTGTGGTTCCTCAGGACAGACATGGGGCTGCAGAAGCCATAACAATTACACAAAGCAGAAGGGTAGCCTCAGGGAGCAGAAACAGCAAAGGCCATCAGAGCAATGCCTGCGCTCCCTACCACACCATCCCTCTGACATCCTTGTTTTTCCAACACCAGGGACTCTATCAGTTGATCACTATCTGCTGCATTCTGTGTATTTTTGTGCCTTTTAATTTTTGTACTGTATGTGTAAGCATAACCACTCTTCCATCTGAGACTTGGGCAACGTGGGGAACTTGGGGTTAAGACAAAGCAGTTGCTTCTCAAGTAGCTGGGGCATGGTGAAAGCACTTTATCCCCTAACAGAGACGGCTGTTATGGAGCGTGTTCCACATTAGACTGTGGGAAGGGCTGTTCCCCCCTCCCTAGGTTCCCCCACCTGCATGCACAGTGAGCTGGAGCTGGGTAGTGAGTATCATGCTAAAAGGGGTCAGCTCCTGCTAACACCCTCCACGAGTGAGCTCGAGCCATGCGCAGGGCAGAACACAAGGTAGCACCTTCCCCCCTTTGCCCCACATGCTCCAGCATCTCCCTGCAATCATCCCTGAAATCAATGTCAGTGCTGCAGAGGTGTCTTCCTGAAGCAGCTTGTTCTGCTCACTTTGGACCCAGCCCACCATAGTTGAGACCCGAGAGCAGCAAAGAGAGTGCAGTTCTGCTGCGTGTCCAGGTTTTTTGGCTGATAAAGGTAAAGGGTCTGGACCCCATGCCCTGGCAACGTGATGCTCAGGAGGCCAGCAGAGCAGCTCCAGCACCCCTCACTGCAAATAAAGGTGAAAAGTAACCCACAGTTACACTGGGGCCAGCAGGCAGGGTCCCTCTCCACAGACAGAGCTTGTCCGAGACCCAGACACTTCACTGCTGTCCCACACCTGTGCTGGGGCAGAGCCCCCATCCCAGCTTGGTGACCTGTTCTCTTTCCTGCAGGTAACACCAGCCTTTCTGCAGCCAGGGGACCAGTGACTTCTCTGGTCTCCTTCAGTGTTCTAGAGGCTCCTCTGTAAAGGCTGGACCACAGCAAACACCACATGCTTGAAGCCAGCGTTTGCAGGCAAAGGCAACCTGCCCGTGAAAGCTAAACCCAGGTGTAGCCACGTGTTTCCGAACTGCCAAATAGAACATTAAAAGTTACTACCTCACTCCAGGCAGGGTCTAAGGTGAGCCTCCGCTACCCATCATCTGGTGAGGATGCAACCTGGTGTTAGATGACTTCAGTCCACCAAACTCCTCCTGGGTGACTCACTGCCATGGACAGGTAGCCTCCATCCCGTCATTCCCAGTAATGCCACAGTTGTCAGGAATTGGAACACCAGAACTGTGTGTGTGTATATAGATATCTATTTTAAAACAAATGATAGACTTTATTCAGT